AACATGGAAATAGTAATCTCTAAAGTGCTCCCAGAGTGAACACGAGTAGTGGAGCTGGTCCTCTGACCACTTATGTAGCCAATCCATTCTTTCTGCACCTGTCCAGGAGTGTCTGTCCTCTTGAATGGGATGAAAACAGAGTTGGTCCTCTTTGTCATTGAACTTCCCATTTACGAAGCATGTATCTTCGGAATGGTTTACAGATCAAGTTGTAGACTGTAGCTGTAGGAGTTACTCTGCAGTATTCTGTTTTTTCTTAACTCACAAAGAATGGGGAGATGGGATCATGTTGGAGTGAGTTGCTTTAGCATATTGACAGTCGAGGATAATGAGCAGTGGAGTTCTTCCTGCTCAGGTTGCAGTGTCACACACCAGGCTCTTTGACAGGGTTGTCTGTTCCAGTTTTGCATGCTGGAGTCTGAGCTGTGGGACCACTGGCACATGTTTGCAGCACCAGAGTGAAATATTGCTCTGGCTTCGTAGGTACAGCCTTGGGTGTAACACCATACATGGATAGGGTCATGGATAGTCAGAGTACTCAGATACCAGCACAGAATGAAGCATTATGTCTCCATGCAAAGGAACCAACTTGTACAATATGTATGACAATGACATGTCACAAACAGCCTTATGTGCCTTCTAACTGGCCTGTATTTACACAGTACAAATATAAACATCATAAGATGGAAGTAGCATTCCCTACAGTATTGGGTCACAAAGCAATCTTTGAAGCCATTTTCTACCACATCAAACAAAGGAAACTAAAACAAGTAATCTTTGCATTTTGTTAGTGGGACGCAATATCTTCTTCTGCTTTTACTGCCAATAGGGTAAATAATGAATAACAAATCACATTTTGGCTTCATAGTTTTATTTATATGGAATACCTTTGGTGAACATATTATGTGGAATTTTCTGTTAACAAATATAATTACAGCACAACATGGGCTGACAACTTTAGGGATTGTTCAATGCCTAACCATACAAATTCCAGTCAGATCCCCATAATCAGAGCAACCTACACATTAACTGAGACATACTTGGTTATCTAGAGCAATGGTTCCCAGCCCAAGTCCTGAGTGACCCCTGTGTCTGCTGGTGTTTAATCCAACTGGGCCCTTAATCACCAATGCGAAGTGATGGAATTGAAGTGCTTGATTGTGCTTTTTTTCTGCATTCGCATCTTGCCAGCAACATCTGCTTACAGATCTTCATGCAACCCCTCCTCGTTATTCCTATTAACAATTTTCTGCCATACTTCTGACTTAAACACTCTTAATAAGAGGTTAATTTAGTTTGCACAGACACCCTCGGCCTAAATATGAGAACCACTGTTATCACTTCTCTATTGGCCGCTCCAGTGCAGAACTTGCTATGACGTGACTCCTTAACCTGGTGACATTTCTCTGCTTTGGTCACCCAGACAGCAGAGGCAGGTTTTCTGCAGAATCTGCTGCAGTGGCTGCAGGAGAGTGGCTGGGTGGCGCTTATGACCAAAATACTGTAATACAGAGACCTGGAGTGGTAACACCGCCCATCAGTGGGCTATTTTTGTTATACACCTGTATAGTATAGCAATACGTTGTTGACCTTGGCACAGTGAAAATAGATTTTTGCATAGTGTTTTTATACAATTAAAACATGATCTCCACCTGCCCAAAGCAGAGATTCTGAATATATTACTCAACAGGCTTTAATTTGTCACATGTGTTGAATGGACACACAGTATACATCAAAAAACATCCACAGTATTATCGGCATAAGTCAATAAACGTTTGTTTCTGGGGGGTTAAAATTGCTAAATCAAACTACCAAAAATATAAATCCATTTTAAACACTTTATCCAATATAGGGCATCATAAGGCACTATTGTTAAAAATGTGCTACTTACCCTCTCCTTAATACTATGCATTTTACCCTCTCCCCCCCCCCCCTTCCCTCAATGACCAGATATTCCTTAACTGGCACCAAAACGGGGTTGTGACGAGTCAGGATCTGTTTGAAAATAGCATTTTTATGTAATTTCAGCAACTAAGAAATGTAATCTAACCCAATTACACTTTTTCAATATTTACAACTAAGGCACTTTATACAGTATGTGCCCAGTTTACCCAGTACCCACTATTCATTATTTCTTTCATTACATTGTCTATCCTTGTCCTTAGTTAAAACTTTGTGGGAACAAGACCTGGACACAGTCAAAAGGGCCAGTGGGTGGTCCATTTTAGGACATGTTCACTCTTCCTCCATCTAAGCCAGGCAAGGTCTCATACAGGACAATTCCGGATCACCCAGACAGCATCTTGCATCTCCAGCAACCTTATTTACTGTATCTCTTGCAGTAAATCCCCAGCCATCTACATTGGAGAAACAGGAAGGAGACTCGGAGACCGCTTCAGAGAACACGTCAGGGCTGTGAAGATTAAAGATCTCTCCAAGCCCATTGTTTCTCATTTCACCTCTGACGGCCACGACCACTCTAATCTCTCCGTCTGTGTTCTCAAAGACGGTTTTCCGAACTCATACATCAGAAAGACCACCGAAACTAAAATTATTCTGCAGCTAGGATCACACATTCTCCCTTCCTTTAACGACAGATTACTGTTCTTTTAAATTTTCTCCATTCATTGGAAGTTTCATTTCACACCTCTTGATTGGCCTCTCTTTCTGTCCCCTGCTCCCGCCTCTCACTCCTCCTCCCTCCCAACCTTTGTTCTCCCGCTACTTTACCTTTGCCTACGGCCCTGTCTCTCTCACACCTGAAGAAGGCTCCACGGCCAAAACGTTGTGTTCTCTTTCTTCTTTTTTTCAGCATGGAATAAACCTATTACTTGTTCCTCTGCAGCCTACGCATACTGACGCAGCTACCCACCTGAACTACTAAGGTCTCATACAGTTTAAAATGATACACCACTTACATACTGTTTGTCTAAACTAAAGTGGGCACAACATGACGGATGTGGGCAAGCTCCTGCCACTCTGATACATATGTTTTGGTCTTGTCCTAAGTTGGTTCAATTATGTCCAAAATTCAGCAGCCAGAATCCTGACCAGGTCTAGTGCAAGTGTTCACATTACTCCTATCCTGGAGTCCTTGCACTGGCTTCCAGTCAAATTCCGTGTAGACTTCAAAATCCTCATGCTCACCTATAAGGCTCTGCATGGCTTGGCACCTCAGTACCTGTCTGAACTATTATTGCCCTACTCCCCACCTCGGAACCTCCGCTCTTCAAATTCTGCCCTCCTTACTGACCCCCAAGCCCGTCTACATTGTATGGATGACAGGGCCTTCTCCTGTTATGCCCCCAAGCTCTGGAACTCTTTGCCCAAGGATATCAGAGAGTCACCTTCTCTAAACTCCTTCAAATCCAGACTCAAAATCCTTTTTTTCAGAAAAGCCTTTACTTAACTGGTTCCATTCTTCACCCCTCTGCTCTTCTTAGTACCACCATCCGCGGTCTCCTCTATTGTTATTGTTGTATTGTTGTAATTGTATATTGTAATTGTGTCTTATCTTGTGTATTCTTCTTATTTATTGTTGTATTCTTCTTATTTATTGTTATTGTCATCCTGTAAAGTGCTTTGAGAAGCCACCTTTAAAGGCACTATATAAAATAAAGTTTATTATTATATTATTATTCTGGTCCTCCATTTTTTAAACTTCCTCTCATATTATCCAATTTGAAATTGAACCCACTTCTTTTATTGCTGTTTTTGGTGTACCAACCTCACCCTCTCAAAACTACAATCTGACAGCGTGGATTTTGCAATTATGCTCTTTTTTTGCGTTCTCTGTCTCTTTGTCCTTTGTTTGACTTCTTTTTGTAAGGGAAGATGTGGGAATTCGGAAATGCTGTACTTTTTCTTTTCATAAATTATTCTCAGTTTAACATACTATGTTCTTTCTGCATCATGTATTTTTTGGTTTAAGAAACAATAAACATACTTGTAAAACATTACTACTTGTTGAAAGGAAAGGAAACTATAAGATAAGATGCAAAGGAACAAGTAATAGGTTTATTCCATGCTGAAAAAAAGAAGAAAGAGAACACAACGTTTCGGCCGTGGAGCCTTCTTCAGGTGTGAGCTCACCTGAACTATAAGATAAGATTACTGACATAAGACAGGACCTCTCTCAGGACTGGAAACCAGTCCATCACAGAGCACTCATGTGCAAGCACACGGGATGAAATAAAACAACGCCTAAGCTAGTCTGAGTATCTTTGTTAGGTGGGAAGAAACAGAAGCATTGAGAGGAATCCCACCTGAACAGGGCATTCATACTTTACATGGAGTGAGAATCAGGCCAGACGTGAACCCCAGACCCAGGAATTGTAGGGAAACAAGCCAACAACTCTAACTCCACACCACTAAAATGTGTTAGCACTTCTTATTGTATTTCCATGATTGTATAATTGCTTTTAATTAACTGCCTATTTTGTTATTTACATATCATATCATAATATATCATACATGTTTTATATACATGTATTATTAATGGACATTTTAAACGGAACAATGTGGATATCAAAATATTTTTTCAGCCTTTCCATCCAGCTTATAAACAATCTTAAACATACTCACAAAACCAATATTCAGCGCTTTTTGTTTTAAGAATTTTCTTTTAATCAGGTGAGGTCCCTTTAAACGTATTCTGTGCTGATCTTGGAAAATTAAAACCTCACAACTTCTTGATTGGTATAGAAACCATAGAGTTTGTATATCAATCCCGTACTGTATTTTATTTCACTTAAATATTTTCTGCGTTTTCCTGTATAGACGTTTTATTAATATTTACCGGGCGAAACATTCTAACATTGATACAATCTGAGAGAAAGAAGGTCACTAACTGAGAGAATGAGACGTCTTCCACCTAATACAGTATATTGTACTTTATGTCTATGATCCAAAGATTTTCCAAACATTTGTTTGAAAATTACCTCCGCAGAGACCAATCAAAATGCAGCTATTTGACACGTGTTCTTCCTGGGTCAAAGTTTATTTTAGCTTCAACCAATGAGGTTATGGCATACTCGCCATTGCTGATTTCCTATTATTTCTGATTACAAGATAAACAAAGCCTCTTCAGTGAGTATAATTACTATAGTTTTTTTTAAAAAAGGTTGACCTGTATTAATCTGATGCGTAAGCGAAGAAGTGAACTTAGGCTAGTTTGTTTGAAAAAACACAAAGTTTCAAAACGGGTGGTTAGGACCAAACTCATTTAGGAACAGTATCCCTTTAGTTGACTGTTTTAAAATAATCTTTCAGTTTTTATCAAGTAGCGACTTAAAAAAACCTTTACGACAGAAAACAAAATTGTGTTATTTTAATATTAGTTATTTTAATAAACTGTTTTAAATTACACAATAGTAAAATATTTTTCTTGGGTTGTAATCAAGCTATAACACCGCGGTGCCACGCTGTTTCTTCAGTAATCGTCTTTTTACGTTACGGTTACAAGTAATATTTGCTTCACATTTTGTTCTACAGCAACAAGCTTTTTGAAGTTGAAGCGATGCTTGTGTATCTCCATCCTCCATATTCTTTTCGTTTTCTTCCGTACGACAGGTGGCGTAGTCGGACTTTTATTAAGCTACATTATTTTTGTTGGAAGTAGGAAACGGTCATGTTTTGCTCAGAAGCAGAGTCTCGTGAAGTATTTTAGGTGATGCTATTCTTTGAAACTCGGAATAAATAACTGTATAGTAATGCATTTATATGTGCCGCTGATATTTATGTTATTTGTTCAGTTTAAAAGTCAGTTGGGGATGTAATCCAGAGTGTTGTCCATTTAAAACATTTAATTTTAAATAATTTATTTACTCGTGTGCGCTAACACTTAAAAAAATATGTTTGTAAGCTATACAAATTAACAATTGACCCCTATACTTTAGATCAGAAAGCACTGCTCAACTGGCAAATGCATCTTGTAATGGCGACGTTTTTTTAAATTAAAAGATTTTTTTTATTTCTGTAGCGGAGCCAAGAGGTAACCTCCAATTTGCCTTGAATGAAAGCGTGAGCGGAAGAGACAGGTGAGAGCATTGTATATTCTAAGTTAGAACAGTTGAATTGGGTAGATGAGCCTTGGTGATCTTCTGGATCACTACAGTTGATCAGTGTGCAGGAGCAGTCAAGGGTCTGGTGAGTGGTTTGGGGTTCATATCCTGGGTGCTGGACTGTTTTATTCAGTGATGTGTACAGAGACACTGGAAGTATCTCTGGGGAGAATCTCCCTTAATACAACACCTTTGGTGTGAATTGTCTATGGTTACCAGATTGAAGGTGGTAACCTTATTGCTCAGCAATGCATCAGTCAAGTCCCTGCACCAAAAGCTTTGCAGTTTCTGCAGACCAGTCCAGAATCATCATTGTTTCACGGACTCAATCCAACAGGTATCTTTGCCTTAAATCGTTTGCAGCTTGAGTCCAGTAGTTCAAGTAGGTAGCTGCGTCAGCATGTGTAGGCTGCAAAAGAACAGTAAAGGTTTATTCCATACTGAAGAGACTTTTCTTCTGTTTTCAGCATGGAATAAACCTTTACTTGTTAATTTGATCCAGTTGTGCAATAAAAACAGAACAGAGCTGCTGAAGTGCAAAGCACACAGTGAGTCTAAATAAGTATAATTAATGGATCTTGTTACATTACTGCCCATGTTATGGAATTTATTTGTACCTGAACCCAATAATGAGGCAGAGAAGCAGCTATTTTGTTCATTAGGATCCCACATGTCATGAGGGTCTGTAGACTCTACAGCCTCACAGGACCAGCGCTGAGCCTCACTGGTTTGTCTAAATCCAGTTTACCTATGTATAGGATGATCATTAAGCAAGGCATAGCTTTGCTTAATTTACTTAACAGTTTACTCAGCAGTGTTGAGTAAATGATTTCAATCAGATGGCATTACTTCTGTTGAAACACCCTATAAGCCAAAAAAACAATCTTATTGACTTGTTTTTTTCTATATTTTTTTCAGCTTTAGAAAAATGTGAGCACTGCTCAGTAGAAAGATAATTCTTCTTGGATTTTGGGGGAGGGGGGACCCCCGACTCGTAATCTGACCACATCCCCTTGAGTTTTTTAATTTGCATTTAAGGAGAGTCTGTCCCACCCACCCCACCCTCCACGGAAAAGGATTGGCTGTGAATTTAACACCTGCAGCCTGGCATCTGGGACAGTTGAATAGAAAACCAGTTAAGATGTGTTCCAGCCCTGCAGATATTGTTCCCAAGCACGGTGGCAGTGGATGTCCTTCCAGTGATGTAATAGATGTAGGGGACAGGAGGCTCTTCATTGACAGAATGCAGATCCAGATCTCGGTAGAAGCAGAGGTGAAAACCATTCCTCTAAAAGCCCTGCCTCCTTCCTTCATTAAGAGGATGGGTCTGTCCTTTAGAAGTGTCCAGGACCAGACGGGAGATCCAGACCCGATAGTGCTGTGCATTTCTCCAGTCCGCGCTATGGAAGCAGAGGAATTTGGCAAACAGTCTCAAGCCGTCGACAAGAACGCAGCTGGCTGTGGACTCGAGGGTGACTGTAAGCGGAGCACATGCCTGCTTCCAGTTAAAACCTCCAATCTGATGGCTTTTAAAGTCCTGAAGAACCTCTATGACAACCAGAGCTCTGATGCCATTGACCCGCTTAAGGAGATTCTGAAATCGTGCGGCGCTGCCTGTGTCCCCCAGGGCAAAACGTTCCGGTTCAAGCAGGATGCGCTGATCATCCACAACAGAAAGGTGTACCTGTTCATTAACAAGGCAAAGGGGGTGCAGGAGAAACTGCAACTCAGGAACCCTTCGCAGGCAGGGCCCATGCCGAGCTGTGCTCCAGAATCCACCCATCCTGTTACTGCCCAGAAGAGTCTCTCCGTTTCCCCCACCAGTGAGACACAGCCTGGTCCAGTGTGCACCACCCCTCAAAGTTGCTCTGGATCCCCGAAGCAGGTTATCTTGAGCTACTTGTCTTCCTTTCTGTATTCATGTGTTTTGAATTCTGTAGTCATTTTAGTTAAGTAGGCTGGCGAGTCAGTCCCATAATCTCTTCAGATGCTTCTCAGGCCTGCGTTGAAAAAGGCACTTCTTAATCTTTCAGTGGTTTACCTCCAGTTCAAACACGTCACAGTCTGCTTCTTTTTTAAGTTTGTCACTGCTTTGTGCATTTTACAGAAGTACATCTGTTAAAAAAGTTTCAATTGCAGATTGACACTAAAAGTCAAGTACTGTCTTGACATCTTAAACATTTCAGTGTCAAAGTATACTCTTCACTTTTTCCTACCTGCAGTTTCTGCACTATCTTTAAACACAGCATACAGAGTAAGCAAATAAGTGTTTGCAACCACTCTCACCTTGAAGTGAGTGAATAAGATATTGAAGGGAATTTGTGTCTGAAATCCCTTGATTTTAAAATCGAGTGACAGACTTTTGCATTTTATGTTTGGTGAGACAACTGACACGCTGTAAGTTTCTGTTTGAGTAAATCTGAGTAAATCTTTAATGCTGTTTGTCACTGCTGAAGCTCTAAATGATATTGATTATATGGGACTGTCTTGTTGCAGGGCTTGTCCAGTGTCTCTAGTGCCCCCGTAAAAGAGCACGCCAAGCCCTTTGACATCAGGGTTTTGAAGAAGAGGTTTGGAGTTTCCCAGGAACTGCAGGTTACAGTCGCCAGGCTTCCTAATAAGAACTTGGGGGGCCCAATAAAAGAACAGAGCACCTCCTCTGACGCGGGAAAGGGTGGTGTGCAGCAATGTGAGCTACTGGATCTGTGCCATGTAGAGGTAGGTGTGATAGCTTTGTGTTTATACCCCTCTCACCCCCAGCCCCAAATATCAGATCACCAAGTATCCAAGCCATCTGACATTCTGTAGCTGTGTGAGCCCTGGAAAACCTTATGGTAGATTTATCTTCAGTAGGAGTAGTTTATTTCTCAGTGTCATTACAGATTACCTGTTACCTGGCAAACCTAAGAGGTTTCAAAACAGGGTATGTCACACAGTCATTTCTCCATATCTTCACAGTTTCTTTAATCATCTTAGCACCAACAGTGCCTACATCAGGACCTCACTAGACTAGGATGTGTTTTTTTCTTTTAAATCTCACTGGTTGTAATCACTTGATAAACTGAGGGATCCTTTTGCTGATTCTCCTTGCATCCCAGTCAGATTGGCCTGGGTGAGACAGCTGGACATTCCACTCCAAAAGAGTGCTTTTCCAGGCTCACCCCCCTGGGAGCCTGACCTCCCTCATCCGAGAAAGAATCAGAAGGCTTCTCCTTTTTTTACATCAGGTTGTGTTGTGTTATAGTCAGCATAAGATAAATTAAGACAGGGAGGGTGAGTATTTTAAATAAACTTGGTCTTGGTTGCTTGGGAATATTTGGACAGTTTCTTATGGAGAATTAAGCTGTTACTTTCTAGACTAGAATTACTGTATTTCGAAGGTGAGTGGATTTCCACTTCTGGCAGTTTGTTTATTGTATTCTAGCAGTCTTAATTTAAAAAAATCTTATTTATATATCCCAGTGACACTCTGAAACAGCCATAGTTTTGTGCTTTTGAGCTGGCTTTGTGCACATCTTTGAAAATCTAATACTGTTAATTGTAATGGAGCTCTTTCCTAGTTAATAATTTGTCAGTAGCACAAAAGAGCAAAATTCAGGTATGATGATGAGTATTTTGCAGTAAAAATGCAGGGCTGAACACTGCACTGGGCCAAAGACATCAAGTGTGCTGTCTTCTGTTTCCCATTAGTGCTTATTAAGTTCAGAGTATCTGGTATTATTTAACAGTGGAGCATATAACCATGTTGGGGAAATGGAACTGGTTATCACTGAGCATGAAATTCAGACAATGGTAATATACACAGTTGCACCTAATTGTGTTGTTGGAACAGCTAACTTGCTTTGAACTGAAAGCTTGTCATTAAAGAAAGACAAAACAGAAACTGGTCTGTACACCCCTAGTACATACTGTAGTGTGGATGGCTATTTTGTGTGTTGAAAAATCCTGATTTATGTCAAGTTTACTGTATAAGCACACCCGTTATTAAATGCCAGTGCCCTGTAAGAATTTATGATCAGGAGAAGTGTCTTGCTTGAAAGTCTGTTGTCTTGATATTAAAAGGGGAAGAGTTTGAGCAACGCCTCAGATTCCGTTCTCTTTACCAGAGCCAGAGCCCGGATGCTGAAGAACCTACTGCAACTGAGGCGCTGGAGGCTGACGAAGTGGAGCAGAGCGCAGTGGAGGATGCTGCGGAACAGGCCAGCAGTGAGGATTTGGACGATGAGCCTCCTTCCAAAAAATCCAAACTGGACTCGGAAGGCCAGGAGACCTGCTTCCCTGACCCTGAGCCCCGGGAGGCAGGGGCTCTTTTGGCTGAGCAGGCAGGGGGAGACGGAGTGCAGGAAAGCGAAGTGGGGCTGGACTTCTCCTTGTCCGACCTGGGGTTCACCACGGTGTTTGATTTTGACCAGTCCGTGCGGGATGAGAAAATCAGTCGCATCAAAGCCCTGCTGAAAGAGAAGGAGGCCGCGCTGAACAGACTGAAGAAGCCAGATTCTTTGCCGTGATCTGACCTTTGTGCAGCCTAGGAGACTTTCCTCATGTGTATATAATCGCAGAGAAGCTATTGAGATCCTAACTTATTTTTGCCTTTGTAATCTCTGCGTGAATTTAATATACACTTCAGATTCCTTCGTTAACCTAAAGACTGAATACAACATGGACATCTTTGAAAAACATATAGGTTTAGTACAGAAGGCTAGCTGACGAAGCTATAGTTTGTCCTGATATTAATTAGCAATGTTTTTTTTTCTTTCTAAGTTTTTTATTTTCTCTTCAAAGAATGTACAGTAAATGAACATAGTTAAACAGCGCAGCTCAGGCAGTATCTGCATCGTCAGGGTTTTTTTACCCATATTGTCAACAGCATTCTTTTGTAAATATTTAAAAACTGGTGTTTAAGACGTGGCATATTTGTCTGCGGCTGCTAGCCCAGATCAGATGCTGTATTCACTGAGTTTTAAGTCTGTTTTCAGTTCTTTATTTTGGTGTTAAAATAGTCAGTTTTGTTTAAAATCAAAATTTAAGTGGAAAAAAAAAATTGTTCCAAACTTTTTTCTCACTTTTGAAATTAAAAAGAACCACTTCTTCAGAGGCAGTTAATAAAATTAAACGGCTATTTCATGAAAACTATTTTTCCTCAGATACACATTTTTGAAGCATTATGTGATGTGAATGTGAACAGATGTCAAACCCATGTTCTAAAAAAAAAGTAGTATCTAACTTGGTCCTGGAGGCACAGTTCTTAAATGCCCTAAGTCAACTCATTTTTTATCTAATTGGACCAATTTAAGTTTGAGATCAACTTCAGAAGCAGCAGCCCTCCACAGACCAGGACTAGAGACCCCTGTAATTTGTCATCGTAGAGAAATTGCTATAATTTGAACTGTTTCTGGTTTGGTTTTTTTCATCGATCACTTCAGTATCAGTAAGCTGTTTACCATGGTGAAGGTCACGACAAAGCCAGAGCCCGTCCCAGAAGATTAGTGCTCAAGGCAGGGCTCAGAGTACACAACTGCTCTCCCCTGGATGTGTGCCAGTCCATCGCAAGGCCACAGAGAAAGACAATAGCAAATGAAACCTAGGAAACAGGAGCACCTGGTGAAAACCCACATTCCTGCTAGTTGGGGCACCTATCTGGCATTTATATGTGGTGTAGTTCACTAAAGAAGTTTGTGAAATGTCCTTAAGCACTGGACATTTGTGTCCTATTTCCAGTCCTGTTCAATTGTTAACTGTGTTTCCCTCTGTGTTCAGTCTTGTTCCTTGAACATATACCAAAGTATATGCAATGACCACAATAATCTCTCCGTCTGTGTTCTTAAAGATGGTTTTTCGAGCTCATACATCAGAAAGATTACAGAAACCAAAATTATCCTGCAGCTAGGATCACACCTTCCCCCTTCTCTAAGTTTCATTTCACACCTCTCTACACCTATTCTCACTTCACACCTCTTGATTGGCCTCTCTTTCTGTCCCCTGCTCCCGCCTCTCACTCCTCCTCTCTCCCAGCCTTTGTTCTCCCGCTACATTACCTTTGCCTACTGCCTTGTCTTTCTCATACCTGAAGAAGGCTCCAGGGCCGAAACGTTGTGTTTTCTTTCTTCTTTTTTTCAGCATGGAATAAACCTATTGTTCCTTTGCAGTCTACGCATGCTGACGCAGCTACCCACCTGAACTACCAAAGTATGTCCATATGCCTTGACATTTCTAGCTGGAACAGAGCTAGAGTTTCTCAGTCTTTAACTGTGGTGTAACTGGTGGCTTTGAAATTAGCTTCAAATTAGCTTAGCAAAATTCTGTAGCTATACACTAGCCGGACGTGCTTAGGACTCCAAAGCTATATCTTTGCCATTGCCAGCTGTTTCTGCAATATCTGACAGGCTCCTGTGAGGGTTGATTTTTACAGTGCCCTTTTGTTAGGTGTGTGGCTTGGTCGCTATAATAATGTTGTCATTAAACTAGGTGGTGATGTTCCATTAAACCGTTCTCCGGTCAAACACATTACCTTGAAAGTCTTGCCAGAAATTTAAAATGTATTTTTTATGAGGAACTTTATGAGAAATTCTAAATATCATGTGTTCTCTCTAAGGATTACTGCTGTGGCTTGTTCAAAGAACTCTTTCATTAATTAAGCAAAAATGGACTTTTCCTAAATTCACCTTGTCTATCCCCTAGATTCCTAGAAGTCAAGACCGATGATCAGTAAACTGTATTGGTTAGAAAGTATCTGGTTTCATGTTTGCTTGTTTTATTCTGCAAAGGCCCTGTAGTGTAAACTACACAACATTAATTCTCTTGCAGCAATGAGCAAAAATAAAAAAGGAATTACCTCCTTGAGATCCTTTTTATTTTCTCATGAAATTAGCTAAACCAGGGGTTCCCAGTCATGGTCCTGAGGATCCACACATTTGCTGGCTTTTATTCCTGCCAAAACATTTAACTGTATCCTTATTGAAACTGCCAGCGTGCTTGATTGGAAGGCACTTTTGTACTCGAGTTAGTTTTAAACACTGCAGTTTAAAGGTCCTATGTTTAAGAACTGACGAATCAAAATAAATTCAAAACACCTCTAATATTAGGTCAGTTTGAGGTTAAATTATGTAATGGGGAGCTCAGCTGGAAGAAAAACCAGGTGTAACTTCGGCTCCAGAGCTGGGAATTCCTGTGTTAGACAAACCTTTTTCAAATGGTAATGATACATTTTTGTGTTGGTCACTCAATAGGCAATAACAGAAGTTTGGAACCACGGTAAGTTTCAAGACATTTGTTAAATGCGTTGTCTTTTAGATGCAGAGGAGTCAGCAGCTTGCAGCATTGTATTCCAGTCTTCTCTAATATCGTGGTAACGATGAAGGTGATGTCGTTTCTTTCTCTAGGTGTGATCACCCGGTGTCTGTTCTTATCTTCGGTTCCCCAGAGAGAGCTGCCGTTTGTCTGCGGCCCTGAATGATTGTCGTCGAAGATGAAAGCAGTGTTGTATTGAATCGTCCACATCTCATTGTTATCTGGTGTTTTCTGTACCCTGCGTTACAATGACCTTGTTATGTAGTCAATCAATCAAGGAACATCTAAATGATGGCTACCTTTTGTAAGAAAATGATAGTCGTTGCAGAGCTCATCACTGTTAACTTTGACTTAATCTCTACAGATTTGCGTCCTAAACTGTGCATTCAAACATTCAAACTGCTAATCTTTCCAGGGTTAAAGTTCAGTACCTCCATTCAATTCCACCCCTCCGCCCTTTCAGTTTGAAACGGGCCTTAGTTTCTTTTGTGCATCTGAGTGGTGCAGCAGTTTATTTTTCAACCAACCAGAAATTTCAAAACAACATGCGTCTGCAGCTATATGTTTTATGAAGTACTGAACACTGAGCAGATGTTTCACTGTATCTCTTTACAGATGATATAGGTGGTGCTATTTGCATGAAATAAATCCACAGGTACCAAGTTGCAAAATTAATGATCACATTCCTAATCCTAAAGATGTTTCTATTGTGATTCAGAGGGACCACTTCATTGTCTGAATTGATGTGTCACAACATAAGAAAGCATACCAACAAGAGGGGGCATTTGATCCATTTTTATCATGTGGTCACTAGCTCATTCTTCTAATGCTGTTTTTCAGCCTTTTCTTGAAGGAATTCAGGAGTCTGCTTCAACAACATGACTGAGTAGTTTGCACCAGATTTATCCAATCTTTTGTGTGAAAGTGTTTCAGCATTTCAGCCCTAAATGTGCCTCATCTAAGTTTCCCTTGTGTTTGCAAGTCAAGATCAATAAAGTTGTCTTACAGCTTCCTCTAAAGAGATTCAGTTCCTTTGACCTGTCCATACAAAGCATGTAAATAACCTTGTTGCCTTTCTATGGACTGAATCTAGAGCAGTAATGTCCTTTTTATAGCCACAATAACTGTTCTAAAAGAGGCCTTACCAATGTTCTGTTCTGACTGCAGTAACTTGAATTTGTACTGTTCACAGTTAGTTATCATTAATTTCTACATTACATTTAATTTGCCAGGTACATTCAGGAATGCCTTTGTTGCTTTTAAGGTGTTTGCTGTTTCGCCTGTTTTAGTGTCAGTTGACAATTTGTGGCAGAACATCAGTGTAAATCAGAAATGTTTTACCTCTCAGGAAAAGATGAAAAGGGCTTTTGAGACGCAAATGTCTGTAAGAGCCTTACGTCTCAAACTTGTGTTCCAGGTTTAAAAAAATAGTTTTCTTTGTTAAACATCCCTCCACCACCCCCATTGTTCTTGTCAATGCAGCAGCCTGTTATCACACATCGCAGTGACAGGGGGCTGTTAAACTGCCTTTTTCTCATACCCAGACTCTTTCTGTGGAAAATAATAAACCCCTCACAACATGCAAGCATCGTGGGGTGTTGTCTGTGCCTCCTCAGGTCCCATATTTTCTGTAACCCAAGTTAAAGAACACAATTGTTCTTTTTCAGTGTTGCAGGCCAGGCTGCCAAAATTCAGTCCAGACAAGGGGTAATTCCTCCATAATAACATTAACAACAAGCAAAGGGAGGCTTACTTTACGAAAAGCAAACACACACAACACAGAAATGCCACAAGGCCTGTATCACTGGAGTTTACAGCCCCTTGGGTTAGTCATCTCTCAGAAAGCACTGCCAAGACATGCTTGACCCCATGCAGGTTGGAAGCAAATGGGCACCAAGCTGCAGATGAAGGAGATGAGTTAAACCACAACCCGGAGGCCGAGCTCAGTTTAATACAGACATTCTGACATGGAGATAGATTGAGTGTTGGAATGCAAAACAAAGAGAAATGTTAAAAAAATGTTAAAAAAAGTCATCTCTTTGTGTACATAGAAATGATTGGTTGTTACATTGTCTTTTTTTTTATTCTTGTGAACAAGCAAAATAACCCTGCTGGGAGGGTACAGTTTGCTCAGGCCCTTCCCCTTCTGCTTAAAAGCTCCAGGACAGCCTGAGTGCTCTCAGCTCTCAGTGTCCTGATCTTCTGCTGGGGAGGAGACAGGAGTGAACAGAATGAAGTCTTCAGGGCATGTCTCCAAACCAGTCTGCATGGCATCCTCCTCCACAGGGCAACGTGCACTGAAGGTAGATCTCTTTTGCTGTTTGCCTTTTTCCTCCCCCCTCCTCCTTCTATCTTTCTATCAGCCATTGCTGACAAATGGCATTTGGTCAGGTTCCTGTCAGCTTTTTGATGGGCTGCAGTGTTTATTTATTGTCCTGCAGTGCTGTGGTTTGCAAGTGAAGCCACATCCTGTGGTCACAGTCAGCTTTTTGAGGTTACCCAAGCCTCTGTGGGTTTGAGTGCGTGTGGCTGATGGAATTCTTTTTAGTGCAGAACAGTCCTGCTTCTAAATTGCAAGAACTCCTGTAAGGAATAAGATGGCAGCATACCAGGACACTTCTAAGTCTTGTCCATGCCTAAAAAATGTATGCATTAAGAAAATATTCATTTGGGTAAATATATAGGGATAGAGCTCATACCTTGCATAGCATCAATATTTGGTTAATGTGCACAGTTCAACACATGACATCTTGAGCAGCTTATGACTTTAGCTTTCCAGTACGTAAGATCACAGACACATTTATAAAAAAAAATGATGTGCTTGTAAGTCTAACACACAGGTCTTAAAACACAGTTCTAAAACTTCTTGTACAGTTTTATAACAGTGATAATTATTTACATGTGTTTATTTCTTACATTTGGAGGAAAAAAAAACATTACAAGTCTTCCAGCTGAATTCCTTGTCAACAGTGTTCAAATTGCTTGGCAGTTATACACTACAAGGCTGAGCTGATAGAAAGCTGTTCATATTCACAATCTGTCTGTTTCTTACAACCAAGGAAGATGAGCCAAAACATGTTGCCAACAAAGTTAATTTGACAATTGCTTGCAAAAGACTCATACGAACAATATATGCTTCAAAGACGCAGCACTCTCTTGATGATAAGAGAATGAAGTCTGACACACAGTGAAGAATGATGTACTGTATGTCATATGAACTGCAGATGTGCTGTGAGCTGCATGCACTCTCAGCAAAGGACAGAAATTTGCATGTGCTTTGCATGAAACAAGAAAAGGCAAGATTCTGGCAACTTAGAATCCGCTTTTCTCCAAAAAGTAATTCATGTATGTTGTATGTGTATATATTTGTGTGTATGTTTTTGAGCTTAAAGAAAAAAGGGCATTGTTCAGTTTTTTTGGGTGATAAGGACAGATGATTAGCACATTTCATGCTCTACAAGAATGTAGAGTTGCTTACCTAGGACTGTTTGAATACATAGAATGCCTGTTTTTTGGATAAAACCGTAGTGAAACCAGTTGGGACACGTCTCTGTCCACTCAGCGCAGTCACTGGTTTTGTCTGGAAGAAGAATGTTGGAAACTGAATTCTGATTCATTCTTTTATCTGTGCAAGTGTGGCCCTGGTTAACTCAGTCAATTTCCATACTTCTAATTTTCTTGTCTGCCCCATTTATAATGAAATAGATATTTATATTGCAGCTTGCTATTCCTGACGGTTTTTATCTGGTTAACCAACTTATCTCCCTCTACCATGCATTTCATAAACACCTTGTTCAACATGGGCTTTGAGCATGCTGAAATAACTAGGCATATTGAGAGGAGTTTTTATTGACAACTATAACTGGAAGTTCATTGTTGGAAAAAGTAGTCTTGCAAAAACCTTTTTTTTTGTCTTCTGATCACTTTTGCAATGTGGAGATCACCCATGTTTAAAACTACAAGACCCTGTTCTCAACATGTTCTAAGAATATAAGAATGGTTACAGATCTAAGGAGGCCATCTGCTCCATTAACCCCCTTTGGGTACTCAGTAGTTCATTGATCCAAGGATCTCCTCCCATCATTTCTTAAAAGAATCCAGGGTATGGACTTCAGTAGCTTGTTCCATACCCCCTCACCTCTTTGTGTAAAGTGCTTCTTGTTCTCAGTTTTAGGTCAAGGTCTCAGGTCTGGGTTTTAGGTCACATATATTTCTTACCTAAGTGAATTTCTTGTCAGGTCCTGCAGTATGATGTTACTCTGTCAGATTATGGAATGATATTAGTGTTATAACAACTGGTAGGTGAAAAATTAGATTTTGCAAGCAGGGAGACATTTTTAACAAGCTCTTTCTCCATGCAACGAAATCTCGGGCTTTTGAGCTTCTGTTGGTCAGTAACCTGCAACAAGGCATCCACTCAACAGTGTTCAGAAGCGATGCACTGTGCACTGATGCTGTCAGGTTATGCAGGGAACTGAGACTTGGTAGTCAGTGGGTGGTGAGTGCATGGTTTTTGAATTTCTCTGCGTTTGTCCTCGCATTCAGCAAACATTTCTGGAAGCATTTGAAGTTTCCTTAGCCCAGGCCCACCAACAATATATGGACCTAAGTTTCAATATCCATTACTTATCTTTATTTCCCATCTTAATGAATTACACCAGACAGATAATTGCACAGGTAAGTCTAACACATAGGGTATCCAGACTAAGAATAACATACCGTTCTCATAGACTCAGAAGGTGCTGCATCTTGATTTAGAGGGATTATTCAGTGTTGTTTGATGTATGGAATCAGGCAGTGTGATGGCTGTAAGTGAAAAGTTTTCATAGCCTGCTGGTGATTTTAAGCCCTTCACTTTCACCAAGGTTTTGTAAACCAAAATGTACAGGTCATATATTTATAATTGATATATATTGCATTTGTTGTTTATCCTGTGACTTGATATTTTCATTTCAGTCAATGGAGCATGATAGGTTTGTAGGTAAAAGTAACCAAACACATGTGGCAAATGTGTAGATATGTATCTGTGTACATATTTATTTAATAGACCTATCAAATATTTTGTTTGTGTGAAAGTGTTTGATTTCTGGCATTACTCATGCAATACTAAATAATCATTAGGTATAGCTGTAATTTAGCCTGCAATTATAAATGGTCAGGAAAATCCCTCAGATGGAGCCAAAAACTGTGCTCTTTGGTTTGCTAATGACCACAACTGGTTTCATTTTATTTTGCTCTGACTAGTACTCCAATTTCTTCAAGGGCCACATAATTCCCAGCCTCGTTAGCTGTGAGTCCCTGGTGAAATTCAGGGGCAGCCGTGCAGTTTAATAAGGTTTATAAACTCTGCTGAACCTTATTATTCACAGAGCTGGAAAGGACTATAGTCTGTCTTGGGTGTCAGATATTTTAATGGTCTACTTAACTTCACTGGGGGGTTTGAGAGAGAGCGAGTCAAAGCCAAGGAGAGTGAGCAATTGTTCGGTCATTAACTATTTAATTAGTTTTGATTCCTAAATGCGATAGTTACGTCTACCTCTCTCTTTCTTCCCCACTATTACAGGAAAATGTGCTAATTAAATTGATATGACCGATTTCACACAGGAACAGAATGTCTAGAAACCTTTTTATTTCACCTCATATGAATTTTGAAATGAGATAACAGATAACATTCAGTCTCTGCAGACATTGTTTATAATGCTGCACAATTAATTTAGTTTGTTTTTAGATTATATGTGTTTGTAAATATTCCATTTTGTTTAGTATGTGTTTAATCAGCACAATGTGTGTTGCTGCCTTTGTATCTGTGTAGCAGCATTCAAACAGACTCGCTGTCCATGATTTCACAGTCCTTTGGAAGGCAACATTTAAAGCACCAGACACAACAACAAAGTAAACTTGTACACAAAGAAATGTGGTACAAGTGTTGAACTGCACAAGGGAACTGTAATTCAAGTCAGTGTTCATTAGTCTTTCTCTTTGTGCTTTGATAGCAATTCCTACCAGGCAAGTCTGTCCAGATTTGTGGAGTTAATAAATGTGTTGTGGTACCTCTGAAAGCTAACCTTTCTGTTGCACCATATCGGTGTGATTACTAAAGGCATATTCATATAGGGCAGTCTAAAAACATGCAGTATACTAATACTATACAGTTAATACTAAAACTACAGTGTGTTTGCTGCTTAATACAAACAGTAGGTGCAATGTATATATTGAAATAGATCTGGCACGGCATGGGAGTTTCCTCTGGGCTTTTTAATCACTTTTCCAAAGTGGTTCAGTCAGTCAAAGGTGCTCTCTTGGGGGTTAAGATTGAATTGTCGGGGAGTGAACACATCAGCAGCTTGCTTCCAACTGCAGTTAGGGGATCATTTTTTTTTTGCTTTTTTTTTTTTCTTAAAAGTTTTGAAGGCCATGATCTTGCTGACAGTTATGCGTGTAGAACCCTATAGAGTAGATTCTGAATGCATTTTTTGAACTGTATGAAACTTTACTTTTACCTTTTGGGGGGATGGGGATTGTGACTTAGAGGCGTTCAGTTTTCATCTCACACAGGGGAGCTTCTCACCATTGACTCCTCTGACACCAAATGTCTGAACCAGTGGTTGTTCTCGTAGTGAGCAGGATTACCACTGAGCCACCTCAGTATTTCAAACAGACACTGTCACTCTCAAGTTGGGGCACCTCTCATGAAAGGTGAGGGCTGACCCAGCATCATGTGGCCAGTTGCGTCACGTGCTCCTCTTCTCTGTGTTGTCCCCCAGGTGTCCTGGATCCGGAGGCTGTGGGTGACCTACGCTGTTCTGTGCTTCCTAGCGCTGCCACAGAGGGGCACAGCCACAAAGTCCCGCTGCGGCCGGGAGCTGCTGGCCGACCTGGAGTTCGTGTGTGGGGACAGAGGCTACTACAGAGGTATAGTCACTGCTGCTTAGAAGCTTAGAAGCTTAGAAGCACAAGGCGGGAAAGATTGACATCTCAGTTAGTAATGGCCAGGGCACAGGCTGAGGCCATGATCTTGGCTTTGTTGTTTGAACCCAGCTTTGAGCCTAGGTCATGACACAAGCTGACCAGGATAGGGATCCACAAGCGATGACTCATGACTGCCCCCTGGAGTTATGGTTGGGAATAATCAGATGGGGCTGTTGACAGTCCCACAATTCTCCAGACACTACTGCTGCTGTGTGCGAAGGATCTCTTCCTCAACATTGCCACTCCTCCCCTACGGGGCTCTGTAGCTTCCATTACACGGAAACTTGAGCGGCTCGCAGGCTTGCCCACACTTCCTTATTCTCCCCTGTGTGCGGGGGCGGGGTTCATAGCAGTGAGCCAACCTGGTGATTCTAAATCAAGTTCAGAAAACTAATTGGGGTGCAGAATTTAAAAAATAACAGCCCTGAAGTTTACTGTAGCACTAGGATTTTGTCCTGTACGTTCTTGTGGTCTGGCTCCACCATTTCTTAGGTTCTTAAATGCAGCTTCAGTCTCAATGGCTAAGAATTCCTAGTATAAATAAATCAATGATTGGATGTGTGGAGCAATTAGAGTTTAGATTTAAGGCTACAAATTTCCTAGAACAGGCCTTATTCCAAAGCCAAAATTAAATCTGCACCACATTTCTCAAGGCACGGACAAAAGGGATGAACATTGTTAAATGAGTAATATCAAAATGACAAAAATAAATTAATTATTCAACAATTACAGTAACCTTTCATTAGCTATATCATACAATCTGTGAATACTTTGAGGTCTTTCTTAAAGTGTTTCTGAATTTGAGTAAACCGAACCCAACAAGAGCAACTGATGATAAAAAAAACTTGTTCTTCTTAATCAACCATGTTGACCATTGACAGGTCATGGCTACTTGACTTGCACAGGGCCTCTGATGCATCTGAGAATCATATATGCCCATAGGAAGCAAACCGCTGGACAGACAGGTGCTCAGCCTGCCTGTCATTGCAGGGAATGCACAAGGCTACGGCAGGAGGCTGCGAGGGAAGGGCATCGTGGAGCAGTGCTGCCTGCGCGGCTGTGACCTCCAGCACCTGGAGTCCTACTGCGCCAAGCCCCAACGCTCAAGGAGATTGGCACCCAGCGTGGAGCCGCACAGCCAGGTGAGGATCTGAAGGGCAGCGCAATGAGGGGCCCTTTCTCCGTGGGGAATCATTCGCTGGGAGGTGCCTTGAAGTGCTCACAAACGAGAGGAGGTCATTCAGCCCATCTAGTCCTTTTCCGACACTAGGATCGATCTGATCCTAGTAACCAAGCCACCAGGATTAACCGTGTGGGGCTCCTCTCAGACAATATGAGTTTGAAAAGCTATAGAAATTTACATTCGCTGTCACTGCCTGTTCCACTATTCTGAGAGACCCTATTAATGAGAAGGCTGTTGTCATTTTCAGGAGGGAAAACTGCGGGAAATCTTCAGAAAGCATGTCCTGGCTCCCTCCAGGAATTTGGAATCCATCAGGCTGAATAAGGTTGTGGCATTGGGGAATCGGAACCTACCAGAGCCCGGGGCCGCTACTTCTGTGCCTAGGATCTCCAGGCACTCCTTCCTGCTGAAGGAGATATCCAGAAAGGATGTGGAAAGACAGCCCTGAGAGTGATCCCCTGAGTGAAGAGGAAGAAGGAACGTAGGAAGAGACTGTTTTCTCAGAGCCGGTAGACTTTTACAGAGACAGTGTTCTATGCTGCTTGCTGTTTACGGGATTGTGAAGCTTATCTTTGATGACCATATTAAATTGGCATTTTACTGGATTTTTTTAATACCCTGAGTGTTTTTCCCATTTTTTTGCAAAAACAAATCCATTGAGGATGTTAGATGGGCACTTTTTAGTATCTGCCAGGGAGGGAGGAGATCCAGCAAAGAAGACAGGAGACACAGTGTGTTCTTCCAGCTCGTTAAGTTCCATGTTCTTCAGATGCCAACCTTAAATAACCAACATGTTGCTCATTTAAACAGAAGAAGCCTGTTTACTGAATAGCACTGTATCACATGCAAGAGCTTTTCATCTTCAGTAGTTGATGGACTAGGTTGCCCACACCACAGATGCCATACTTCAGCTGTAACACTGGGCTGACTGGTGTGCCTGGTATGAGATGTTTTATCCAGAAGTCACTGCTCTGCTTTTTTCGCTCCACTGGCTAAGAAAGAGTAAAACCACTTACAAACAGTACATTTGTCAAGGTAAAATGTAGCATATTTCTTTTTGGCAATGTAGAAAAGTGGCAAGTCTGTAGTTTTTTGTGACTCCGGTGTACAGTTTATAAGTATCCTGACATATTTTAGCTTTGTTTTCCTGTAGAGGAAGCTGAATGATGTGCACTAAAACAGAGTGAATGTTTTATTGTCTTTGGTTATTTTCCACATTTTGGATGTATTTTTTGAGCTTGTATGTTAAGTTTTTATAGACACAGATTTTAAAAAATGGTAAAACTTGAAAAGTCCTTGAAGAAAGCACGTGCACTTCAGCAGTTTGTCTTGACATGTATTCTCTTGTTTTTGAAATGCATACTGCGTCATATAATATTTATACCGCATATTTAAATTTAGGTTGCACAGGGAACTGTGACTTTGGGTATGCTGTGTAAAAACAATTGTTGCCAAAAATGTTTTTTTTTGTCTTGTTATTGGCGAGCGTGCCTTTGAGAAGCTGACATGAATTAAACTTTTTTTTTTTCAAACCACGGGTTTGGAGTTTTTTTTTCTTTTTTTCCTTGCATGTGAAGAACAGAATAAGCAAATTTTGTCCTGGTTTTAACTCAAAGCTTTGGTGTACCTGCCAACCCCGAATTCCTAACCTGGCTCTTCGGGGCAAGTTCTCATTGGATAAAGACGAGCGAACCCTGGCAAACAGATCCCCATCAGGCCTGAGTTTGAAATCCGTCGCTGGCTGGAGGGTCGAGTTTCAGATAAATAACCATTTCTCAATGACTGAGTTCTAAGAAGTAATGCAATACAGTTACAAGTTACATGTGGAAAATATTACTTCTTGAATTAATAAGTTGTGGGAAATTGCTGTTAAAGAGGTGTTTTGCTAATTTATGTTGATTCTTCAACACTTCACTGTAACTGAAGTAATCCCTTAGACCAGTAAATGGTTACTGTAATGCATACTTTTTTAAAGTAATGTTCAACAACTGTTTCCATTAACACTGAAGATCTGATGTTCAATGCTTTTTTCTCCTCCTATAAGATTCTTATAGCATACCTTTATATGGATTTGACGCCCAAATGATGCAAAACAGAGGGAAAGTTAATATCTTTCCCTAATGTTATGAAATCGCCTCTGAATTGTAGCACATTGATTCAGTGTTACAGTTTATCTCAGTTTGGTCAGGCTTGTCAGATCTTCACTTACTGAGGTGTAACAGTAAAGGGTGCTTGAAACATCTGTTTTAGATTGCTCAGAACAATGCAACATCACACGCAGCTCCTGGAAAAGAAACGACTGGGGAAACAGAGGTCGGCTGTCGGGGGGGGGGTTCATCTGAACTCTGCATACTGTCACATACTGATGAAATTGCACAAAACCACAGTAAATATCTCACGATAGAAGTATGCACTATGCACTACACACACAGACAGTGCTGGCTGAAAGCCAATCGATCACAGCTCATCCTGTATAGGGTTAATGCAAACCATGTCCCCTGGCCACTGTGAAGTCAAGCTCTTGTGTGTGCTGTGGGGCAGATGAGTGGCACTGGGGTTAGCACAGTGAGCACAACACCCAGCTACAGGTTTATGGACCCAGGCCATAGTCGCATGTTGTTTCAGTAAAGGAGTACAGAGGAGTAGGAATTCAAGCCAACCATCTGGGCAAGAGCCCTGAAGAGCCTGCTGTACAGCAAAATCGAATAATGTCCACAAAAAAACTTTACATGCATGTTCACAGCAGGGACATGCGATCTTTTAGTTCATATACACATGGTTTTTGTCTCTGTCTTTTCAGCTCTGTCCTCTGCATAAACCCAGTCTAGCACAGAAGAACTGCGCAGTTTGTTTTGGGCCTCGTTTTATCCCAGAGCTCCTCGATACATGAAACCCCACACAGCTGTTTAATGATCGCATTTGGGCCAACATGCTGCTTTCGCGTTCGAGCTCTGGCGCGCTGCACCTTTCGTGAAAGAAGAGCAAACCCCCAAGGTAAACAGCTTCCAGAGCTGAGGGGTTGCCATGACACTGTGGCGAGGGAGGGGGCTGGAGAACCGGGGAGGATGGGGGGGTGGTGGCTGTGGTTCTGTGGTTTTGGAGCCCCGCCACTCGATCACCTCGAAAGGGCAGGGTGGCTACAGCCCCAGCGAAGAGGTTCTGCCCCGCAGTGTGAGGCAGTCTCCAGCAGAGACTTGTTAAAGAAATACAAGCAGGCTGGGGAAATCACAAATTGGCCCCCCTGTAGTCACCAGACTAGTTAGATGTCTGAAACAAACTAAATTATACATATTTATTCTTTGTGATATGTCCAGTCCTGACATTAAGTTTTAAGAAACAAGTTATATCTCAATTTCCTTTCGGATTATGCCTTCCACTGTCTGCACTCAGCGCAGCTCTTGGTTGCTGAGTTTTTGTTGTCGTGGTGATCTACTTTTCAAGCAAAAGGAGCGTCTGTAAAGGCAGTTGGGAGGAAGTGAGCAGGGGAGGGTTATGCCCAGCACACTAAATTGCCATCCTGCGCGACACCAATATACGTCCCCACAGATCTTTCACCTTACCGAAGTCTTTGGCAGGAACTCCCCATATATTTTTTATCACCTAATCAGCCAGTTTGGATTCCAGACTTGCTGGCTGAGAGTTCCACACTCTCTTGGGAGTGAATGAGATGTACAGATATGCTCCACACGCATGCCCACCTATAGAGCTGTTCCTCTCTCACTGCTGTCAGAGCCAGCCTGCACCTGAGTTTATTGGTGGATGGTGATAGGGCACAGTGGCTTCATCAGTGTGAATAATTCTATGCTCTGGAGGGGAATGGGGTCGTGTGCTCAGCAGTTCCAACCTGGCTGGGATCAATGTAGTGGCAGTTCAGTGAAGCACTGGCAGGGTCATGGTAGTTTACAAGTGTGTACTGCCCACTGCCCTTGAAAAGAAATACTAGTGCTCTGATAAGGCAGCTCGCAGAAATAGCAGCTATCTTGTCTACTGCAGGTGAACAGCCTTCAACACATGGCAAATATTGAGTGTTTCAGATGGTACCCCCAGAGGGAGATAACATAATAAGAGAAATAAAAGTTTCCTTGTTGTACAGATACTGAGGGATTTAGAAAATACATTTTTTTTCTTGTGTGCAGCCATTTCCCTTTGCAAAAAGAAAGGAGAAACCTGGAGGACCAGGAAATGATAAACTGCTTTGATGGCTATGGATATTTTGTTACTTTTTTAGAAGATGGAAAGGCTATAACAGACCCCTCAAATAAACAGAAAGACTGTTTCGAATCTGAACTGCACTTGTATGATCTGCTAACGTTATCAGAAATTGGAGCTCTGTCCAAAATTGAACACTATTTCCTAGCAGGTCACACATACAGGGGTTCAGAGAAAACCATGATTTTTTCATTTAAATCCTAACGTTGACAGTTTTCCATAAAAACATGAGAAAAGTTAGCAATGAGAAGAAGCCATTTTGCACACTTAGCTCAATTGGTACTGTAGGTATTAATTAGATGACTCAAGGATCTCATTCAGTTGATTCTTGAAAGCCAGGGTTCAGGCTTGAATAACATGACTGGAAAGCTTTTTCCATATTAAAACATCCCTTTGGGTACAGAAGTGCTTTGTTACTCTGTTTTAAATGCAAGTCCACACAGTTTCCATTAGTGCATTCTGTATCATATTTCATTATTGATTCTGAAGACACTCATTAGGTTGACCTTATCAATGACTTTGAATGATTCTGACTACAGTACGTGCATCATGTACCTGTAATGTTTGTTCAGGCTGCCAGTGTCACCAGTTCTCAAGTTAAGATATAATTAAAATACATTTTGACTCCACTTACACATCATCGACTACCTGAATTAAATTAATGTGGATTTTGGATAGAACCACTGTTAACAAAATCAAATGGTGAATGGATTAAATCAAGAAACAACTCCCTTTTCTATTATCCCCTCCAGGGACCCCTTTCTTACATGACAACCTACTTCTAAATGTAATTCTTCTACCATAGAACACAGTACCTATGTTCTGACAAATTTTACATCCAATTCAATACCTGCTATTGTCATTCACCATTCTCCTTCTCCTCACCCACCGGTGTAGCCAAGAAAGAAATGGAAAAATTACTACCTTCAACCCTGAACTCACTAATCTGGGGCCCAGGGGCAGCATGTAAGCAGCAGAGATAAGGATGAGCACAACAGGCAGATACAGAGCTCAGACTCTGCTGGGCCTGCCCAGTGTTTTGCCTTCAGTCAGCCTGGAAAAGATAACAGGCTTGGAGGCCCCAATTCAGGAGAGAGGTTATCAGAGAGTGGTAACAGCAGAGAGAGAGAGAAGGAGGCATTTGAGGGAGGAACACAGCTCTGGAAATATGGAGTTGGCCAGGATGTGGAGCCACCTGTCACAGCTTTTCCTAACTGCCCAAGAAAAAGATGGTTAACCCCTAGAACTGTGATGGTCCCTGGACAACCCCTACAAATATATTCTCCAGTCCTATGACTTTTAAAGAGCTCTTTAATAAGCTCAGTTGTTGGAGATTTGGAATCAAAGGCCAGTTTATTAAATAACATCAGGTCTACAGTTGGTCACCACAGGCATGAATGAGCCCTGTCTAGCCAACCCTAAAGAGCCACAGGGTCCTCTCATCTTTCACCTCACCTGTCCTCCCAGAGCTCGCAATTGAAATGATCTGATCAAAAAGATGCACTTGTCTTCAAACCTTTAACTAAATGAGGGTCTGACAAAACCTGGAGAAAAAGGCCAAGACCATCTTCCTGCAGGACCTGTCAGACACCACTGCCCTGTAACAAGGAGGTCATGGACTCCAGTTCTCCGGGGGGCTGCGATGGAATCTACTGTACGTGTCATTTCTGCTCCCCAGGACTCCCAGAGCAGCCAAGACCCGCTCAAACTGATGCTCTAGCCTTTTAACACAGGGATTGTATGCTGTGCTTGTGTGTACTATGCGGGTTGTTTGGTGCTCAAGAGAAGCCAGCTCAAATCCAGGGTCCAGCAACACATGGTATATCAGCATCCATGACCGCTTATGCGTCAAGCTTGCCTTGCTTTAGAATCTTTTGACTACATAGCCAGACAGAAAGACAAGACCGTGAGAAAAGGAGTATCATTCTGAGATATAAACAGGGTTAGACGCAGGATTAACATGTTTAGGCCTATGTTTTAGTGTGTGGCACAACAACACCTAATGTCTTAAATGGCCATAGCCTCTGATCAGCCTCTGAAAGGCAGAAACTGGCGATGAATATCTTATTGATCTCTAAGGTTCAACCTTATTGATCTCTAAGGTTACTTTTACAGTGAGCAAACTGCAGGCATTCTCCCTGATTTGCAGTACATTGGGAAAACAGTTGTGCTCTAGTTTGTCTATTACAAAAAAACCTTACGCCCCGTATGTCCTTCTTCTCTCTGTGCACCTTGGCATCTGTAGCGTTGGCCACAAAGACAAGTGGGGAGCACGAAAAAGACAGTGAGAGAGAATGAAGAAAAAAGGTAACAGCTGGGATTTCTAGCTCAAGGGCTCCTTGGTTTAATTTCCCTCTATCAGAAAAGAAAGAGAAAACTGTTTATTGCCCTTTTTAATAACAGGCTGACAGCTGGTCCGGCAATAGATTGCAATTCTTCTAAAAGGTCATTTTTTTT